TACTAAGTATTATGTACTATAATGGCAGGTTATGTGTTTAACAAAATCTTTCTTGTTCAAAGTTAGTTCATATTAATACACGTGCTGAGTATCTGAAAAAAAAAAGCTCAAATTTATACATCTTACTGAATGAAAAGAAGCCTTACTTGTCTATGATAAAATTGCCAATAGTTCGGCGATTATTTAGCTTGATAACTGCAGACGCATCCTGATTATCTGCTTTAAATTCTGTTCATTTCAAACATAATGTTATTCACACTGATTTCTGCTTACGCAGTGTCTTGAGATTTTCTCTATTTTATCAAAGACTACTCTATATTTTACGGTTAAGCGTCCACGTTGCCCACGCACAATCCGCTGGTTTCTTAGGGCACCAGACGCTTGTATGAACAGAATGAAATTACAAAGGTTCCTCAAATGAAAAGGTACAAAACGTCGCAACAAATAAACCGATTGAAATTTTAATATACCGCATTAGCATAACGTAGTGAAACATCTAAGGACATGAATGTAGTGTCCGGCTGGGTTGTGCGCATGTGTGTTCACTTGCACATGGCGCAACAGAAAAGTAAGCAGTCAAGTGTTTCGTCCAATTGATGCGCCATTGCGTGTGAGGACATCATGGCATTTACATTGCAAAATTCGACGACTGAGGAGCAGCGAGATGTTATCAGATTTCTGACTGTGGAAGGGTTTAACCCACTGGATTCATTGCTGGTTGATGGTCGTATACGGGTTAGATTGTGTGTTCGACAAGTTAGTAAGAAAGTGGAGAAGTTAATGCTACCAGGCCATACAAACACGGCAATCATGGCCGAACTCATCGACAAGGTGAACGACCTGGTGAGAAGTGACATCTCAAAGGCATGCGCTTCAACTCGGACGAACTGAAAGACACAGTGGAGGACTGGTCCTGTCACGGCTGCAGGAATTTTGAGAAGAGAGAATCCTTCGTCTCCTGAAACAGTGGGATAGTTGTGTTCAGGCCTCTGGTGATTACTTGTGAATAAAGACTTCAATATATCCATAGTGTCATTTCGTACCTTTTCATTTGAACACCCGTATAATGATGATCCGTGTCACCTTCCTCTCCACGCTCGCAGAAGGGAGTATCCCTAAGTCTGTGAAGTATATTGGGAATGGCGCATGACCTGTCATGAATTGTGTATAGGCTAACGCGGTGAGTCTTCATTTCCCTGTTAACTTTTGGCAATAAGCTAAATGTCCTTCGTCCTACCTCTGATTCTGATCATGTACTTTGCCAGTTTCGTAACAAGCTTATCAAAGTTGCTCTTTTAAATGTGAGTCCAAGATAGTTTAGAAGGCTGTTCCAGTAATTCCGTGGCATTAGCTGCCTGCTCAGCCAAATGGTCTGCGGCTTCATTGCGTGAATCCATTTTAGAGTGAGTCTTTGTAAAATACGCATATCTAGAAGCTGTTTTTGAATTCGGTATACCAAGAAACTTCTACTGTTTTTTCCTGCGACAGCGACAGCGGCCAGTCTTCACGCTGAATCACTGAGTGTGGATCATTTCTGCTGCTGATATCTGTTATTGTGCCTAATTACAGCGCTGATAGCTAGAAGTTCTACTTGGTATACCGAGTTTTTCAATCCTAGTTTCCTCTACCATTAAAATGTTACAGTACAATTTTTTGGTCTACAGAAGCACTACCGGTGCCATTCTCCCTTTTGGAGCGCCTTCTGTAAAAAAGTTATTCTACTTTAAACTGGTTTGTAAATTGTGTTAATGCCGTCGGCGAGATGAAAAGTAGTTAGATGAAAGTTTTTGCAGATGGTTTGCTCCTCAAATTCCTAGTTATGTAACTATGATCCCATAGTGCTAATATTAACCCAGCCCGGTCACAGTTTCAACAGTTGCCTCCCTTTTCAATATCAGATCTAGGGAAGGAACTCCTGTAAGTTTTTGTAGGTTGGTCTTGACATAACGCGGTACGCTTTGCAAATTTTAACTAATTGTTATCTCTGAATTCAGTACCGGGATTTTCTCATGTGAGAGCTGCGTTCATGATTCCAGACTGCCACTCTTTATGTGATTGCTCTCTCTGTAATGGTTCTATGTCAGACATTTAACAGTTTAGCTGAGATACCCAATTTTAGTAAAGTCATGTCTCTGATATTGTTACTTAGAATGCTAATTTGCGTCTTGAAATTGCTGATAGATGTCATCCAGGAAAGCCTGTTGTCGAGTTATAAGCCTAAGATATTTCAATTGGGGGGGGGAAGCATTTTACCGATATCCCATGGAGTTTAACCGTTGGGTTACGTCTAGGCTGTCAGAAAAGCTTTAGTTTTCTGTGCCGAAATTTGAAGCTTATGCACTCTGGCCCAGTGAGAGTATAGATCGCGACAGTACTGTACTCTCATTTTGAGGTTTCTCCTTCCTGCCACAACTAGCATATAATCGTCCGCGTAGGCTATAATTCGAGCACATTGTATGCTCTCAAACTGATTGAATTGCCCTGTTTTCCACCATATTCCACAGGTCAAAAAAGCAAGGTAGTTTTTCCTAAAATACTTTTCATGGATCGGATTGGTTATAGGCGAAAATATCGCTACAAAAACATCGCGGACAGAAAGGTCGCGGAAAAAACCAACGCAATGCGATAACCTCGTCATGCGAAACATTGTGTAAGAGGAAAAAAATAAGAAGGAAACTTAAGAGTGCAGAAACTGAAAACAAGTAAAAATTTAAGTTTGCTTATAATAATTAATAGAATTTTAAGCTTACATAGTTAAATAATAAAGGTCAATAATTAATTAAACTCTTTTTAGTTATCGGTAGTTTTATTGGTATTTACTGGTACTTTAAAGTTTTATTGGTATTTTTTCATGAAAATTATAATCTGAAAAAGATTAAAAAAAGAAGATGAGTAACTGCTTGAGTTTGCCTCTATTAAAATTATTTATTAAATCATCAGATTATTTTCTTTAACCTTTGTTAATCTGATATCCTTTTAGTGAAAAATTTTGTTTTCTTTTAGTTTATTCTTCTTAAAATTTCAATACCATGCACAGCATGCAGTTAATGATTTGGACGCTGATCTTTTAGCAATGACAAAAAATGCCACCTATATAATATTTCACTAGATGATTAGTAGTTATTGAATTATGGCAAAGCACACAATAGTTATCTGCTTAAGGGAAAGGGATGTCTTTGTGGAGAGGTTTCTCAGGCACTGGCTTGTAGCAACGCCATACACTAAACATAACACGAAACTTTCATGCAGTTAGAGCATTCAGCGGATGGAACTACCAGTCTTCATCGAGTTTCCTCCTCGGACCCTGTTGTTGGCCAGTTCAGTAGGGGAATTAATGGGAACTAGTTTGGTTTTACATTTGTCATTGAGAAAATTCGAGTTTTAAAATATTCCTCATTCACTTTTAGCTTGAAATATCATTATGCGAATATGCATTTACAATTTTTAAAGCTTGAAAAACGCATGTCTTCGATATTATCTTCAAGTGATGATTTGTCATTGCTTTATTTCTTACCACAATATTTTCGACGACGATATTTTCAAACTGCGAAGTGTTTTAACCGCTTTATTTTCGATGACGGCATTTCCTACCTCTATGTTTAGAACAGCGATCTGTTCTCCATTCTTCCTTTTCTTCCATTATGTTTTGTTCGACGATGTTTTGGCCAATCGTTATTTTCTCCGCGACATTTTCTTCCGCAATGTTTCCGGCAGACACCATGAGAGTTATCCTCAGACATGCTAGCAATAGAAATTATGGATCTACAGTTAAGAAACTCTATACCTGCAATACTGCGGACATTCCTGTAGTGGAGTGGTATGTGCACCTTGATTGTTCCTCTGTTAATGCGAATTTTTTAGGGCTACTTATGGAGATCTACAACGATATCTGTTATCTGTGTGCGTAATGTATCTGTATGTTTTAAAAGTGAAGGAACGAAATTTCGAGAAACGTTTTGAATTGAAATTTAGAATTTAAAAATGAAAGTTAGTTTTCAGCGCGTCATTTACTGAAAAGAAAATGTCAAACGTATCAGAAATGGACATAGGTGTGCAGAGAGCATATGCTTTCACGAGCACAAATCTTCAGACTGCAGAATCCTAGGAACCTTTGAGAAAAGAACCCCTCTTTGGAAGACTGTGACGGTTTAAAAAATGTCTAAAGAATGATGATTATTTCTTACATTCAGTTCGGCATTTAACACTGAGAATGATTACTGGTTAATTTAATTCCACTCGTTTTACCGTTTCTGATAATCTATCCGAAGCAACGGGCTTGTGGAAATTGTGTGCGAAGATGGTACTATTAAACCTTATCAAGGAGCAAAATTTGATCATTATTAATATGAGTTAATACCTTCTTAATCTCTTTCAGAATGGCTGTACTTCAAAGAGTATCATAGCGACAAAATGGAAAACGTCTTAAAAGACAAAGCGAATAAATTGGAGAGAACCATGTCAGATGACTTATAATACTACTAATTAATGTGGAAGCTTATTATCCAACTATGTTTAGTCTCCCAATGAACTAATTAAACTTGAAGGTGATTACTCAGTTTACAAGACTTTTGCAAATGTAGGGTTTCTATCAAAAGTCTTATTATATTTCTACCATACGTCTTAAATGAAGGTCCCTTAATCTTTATATTCCAGTGGATTTAGTACTAAATACATGCTAAAGTTGTACTATACTTAACGTTTAACATGAAACAAGATAGCATCTGTTTGCAAGAAAATTATTTACTAGTGTGTTGCTGCCATAGAAGTATTATGCATATAATAATTCATAATGCTTTAGAGTTTCTAGTATTAATTTTATATATATAAAAGCTGCTAAATTTTTAGAATATTAAAAATTAGCTTTAGAATTTCTAGTATTGATTTTATATATAACGGCTACTAATTTTTAAAAATCAGTCGCTATAAATATGAAAGCATTGTAAATTAATTAATGTCAAATAACTGCATAAAATTACCGCAGTTTAATTTATATTTTGCAGTGTCGTAAATAATAGTAAGGTGCATGATCTGGATATGTTGGACGAAGTTCTGAAAAACTACGATAGAAGAGCTCTGCCGACAGGAACAGAAGGTACGTATATTTTGCCTTTACCGGGTCACCTTTCAGAACAATTTATTAATCATTTGAAAAAACTGTCTAACTAAATACCTTGTGTGTGGTAGAAAACAAAATTACAATATTACTATATAGTTTTGAAAAGGTAGTAATTTGGTGTCACAAGGGTAAGACGTTTACAAGGAATCATCGACTAAAAGCTGTTCTTACTTCTTGCGTTCTTGAAATTGCTTATAAACTTTCAATATTGTTAGAAGAAAATCACCTAAAACAATTAAAAAATTTAGCTTTCCATTTTAGACGCTTACGCAGTCATTAACACATAACGATATGCTATGTAAGGTAATGTAATATAATCATATTTTCTCATTTAGTTAATTTATTAAGGTTATACTTGGTTTATTAGTGGAACTTAGTCTCATAACCTTTTTAGACAAGTAGCGATTTATCGCTATGCCTAAAATAGTGCGGCAAAGAGTTGCGAAGCTTTTAAACAATATTTTATTGAATTGTACTTCTTAACAAAACAGGATACGGTTCGTGCTACAGGTGACCACTGCTTGTGGCAATACAAATGAAATTAAAACAACCAAATGAATTTATATGTTTTTCAGAAGTCTAAAGACTGCACAATCAAACACTAAGCTACAATCCGTCTCAAATAATCTAATTGCGCCTAAGTAGCGGCTGCTAGAGCATGAAGAAACGATATAAATGCATTAAGCTAGACAGCAATTAAACCACGCAGCATGAATGCCAGGAAATCTCTGTCTGTCCATATCCAAAACCGATTAGATAAATTACAATCTAGAAGCACTTAATTGCATTACAAATTAGTTTAAAATTTTATCAATTCAACGCAGTACACTAGTTTAAAATAGCTTAAGTACACAACAAAATAGTCTAAAACAGCTTAAATACACTACAAACTAGTTTGCATTCTGGTGACGAATATGGATAGAAGAAGTTAAAGTAAAGATAAAAGCCAAATATTTGGTTAATTAAAAAAAACTACAACTTTAAATTTTAATACTTGCCTAGAAATTAAAATAGATATTACTTAAGTTCTTCACAAAGAATTTGAATTTAATAGAGCAGATGCTCGAACTGTATTTTGTAAATTTGTATTACTTTAACTGATTTCATCTGCATAAAATTTAAAGACAATTCAACACTTCAATTCAGTGAAATTTTAGCACAAAATTAACTAAATTGTATAGTACTATGCAAGGTTCAGTTAGTTTTACATACAGTATTGTTTAAAATAAGATAGATTTTTTGTGTGTTCTTTGTCTTGGCACAAAAAAGCCAAACCATATCATTTCAGCCGGATAATGCAAACTTCATCAGCACTATTCTTAGCTGTTAATTAGTATAATGATGTTTAGGTGTAGTGGAAGGAAAATCTCGCCAAGTTCTTTCTATTCTTTCTGTTTACAAGTCACTGCAGCTTTCAATTTATATGACTCTTCCATCAAATGATTTTTTCTGAAATATCCGGTCGTACATCCACCTTTGAGATGAATAAATACACTTTTGGTCTCAAAACTAGACAGTTTCTAGACAGACGCTTGGTTATCGTATTCACTATTTTTTCGTTGATACATCATATACAAATTTTGTTTTGATTTAAATGGTTGTTAGTTTATTGAAGGAAGCTCATTTACTTCTAAAGTATGTTTCTAAGCAAGTTTTCAAATGAAACATATTCTTGTATTTTACCACATTAAACTTCTATTTTTCTGATAACAATTTGACAAATGCACGCTACAGATTTTGAGATGGGATCCTCTTCAGTTATTAAAAACATTGAAACGCAGAAATCAGACCTTTGTACTTAATCAAAGTAATAATGTTATGATTTCCAACAATGGTTATAATTAAGGGTTAAAATTGTGGGTATTAGTTTGATATATTCGACAATAAAATGTACCTATGAAGAGTTACGTATGATTAAATTTTCCGTTAAAGCCATTGATACGCAAATTTGAAACGGAACACAGACGTTCACGTAAAATGCAGGCAAATTTTAACATGTTGTAGCAGTGATGAGTTACATCTGATTTGAGGAAATGCATGAATTATGAATTACCTTGTAAAATCATTCCACCTTGTACAATATGAAAGCTGTAATACTAATGACTTGCTGATTGGTTGTAGGGGTTTTTCTTATTTTGCATAACAAATTTATTTTGTTTGATGCCTATTCTAGACTTCTCAACTTCCCTTCACATTCTCTCGCCAGGATGTAAATTTAAAGTTAAGTGACATTCTCTCGCCAGGATGTAAATTTAAAGTTAAGTGAAGCGCTTATTTAAACGTGTCAATATCTCAGTTTATTCAGAGCGTGTTTCGCTAGCCAAGCGCACGTTTCGTTGTTATTTTACTGTTACGCATTTTGGCCTTACCAGATTCTAGTATCACGCCGGTTAGGTTCCTCTGAGTCTATCCCTTAAGCGTAACTTAAGTGCTGTCTTGCATTATTTATTCTAGGTTTGACTTACATTATATTCTACGTTTAGTTTTCACCGCAAGTTGCCGGTGCTTTTGTAACACACGAAGACCATGCCTTTCTGTTAAACTATTTTGAATTAATAAAGGGTTATTTTTACCTATCGTCAGAGTCAGTAGTTTTATTCATGCCTGAGCGAGAATTGGTCATTATAAGGTCTATTCTAGTGTATGTGGAAGAGAAGAGAAAGTCTCTATAAGGTTATTTGATTATGGCAAAGCAGAAGAGGTCTACCCGCTTAAGGGAAGGGATGCCTTCACAACGAGTTTTCTAACGGAAATTAGATGGCATCTACGTTATGCAAGGACAAATCTATGATAACACCAATGCAGTTAATCATTAGTCGATGAGCTCGAATTGCTGTTGGTGCGTTTCGTAGCTCTAATAAAGGAAAACATAAATAAATTATTATACAAAGTGTGTACTGAAGCGTTTTAGCATGTGTTATAATTTTTTTAAATTATAATAAATGATCAAAATGACTATTTAATGATTTTCAAATAATGTATGGTTAAAGTAAAGTTAATCTGTAAAATGAAAACAAAAAATGCAGCTAAAACTCTTTGCATTATAATTAAGCATAAACGATTGTTTTCCAAAGTGCTTCAAACCAGTCGGATCCTAAGGGAATTTTCGATAAAATGTCGAAAAAAACGTGTTACTACATTAAAAACAAGTCTGGGTTTGTCTATTAATAAAGGTCTAAAAAGAAAGACAAATTAAATTAATTTCAATTGAAACGATTTGTCATGCATTGAAAATCGTTAGTAATTTATTGTTTTAAAAATAAATTTAACTGATAACTCTAGCACTATTTAAATAGCTACAAAATTATTAAAATGTGATGATTTTATTTAAATAATCATTATTTGATACAATTTGTATAATATTTTCAGAATTTTAAAATTTTACGAATTACTAAAATTAGCTTTTATACAATGGATAAATTAAATACTCTAAATATGCATATTTGCATTAAAATAGGCGATCTAATTTTAAAACTAGAATAGTTGTTTAAATTTGCTCCACTGTTAACAAACAATTGACTTTCATTTCCAAGCATTCAGTCTTGAAGCAACGAAAGAGCATTTACACATGGATATTTTTTCATAAACGTATGTATTCTATTCTTTTGTGAAAAAAAATCATATGTAGCGTTTAAATGATTATTAAAACGTTATATTTGATTATCTTTAATGATTATTAAAATACTTTAAACCAAATATAAACTTTTTAATGATTATTCAAATGTTTTAAATCAAATATCAAATATTCAGATAAATATGCTTCTCTTTTTCTCATGCATTTTATGCTTCTTCCTCAAAATCTCCAATTTGCTTTTTTAATCCTGAATTAATTCTACAGTTTTACCCAATAATGAGAAACGAATGAAATTGTTACTACTTACGTTTCTCCTATAATGCGAAATGAATGAAATTGTTGGACTTATGAGAGAATAATGTTAGTGATCGCACCAATGTGTGACTAATAAATAGCAAACAATTAACAACCGACCAGCTTTTATACACGAAAAATTCCTAATCCTTTCCTAGTTAAGGATAAAAGTATTTTTTGAACAAGCTACATAAAAAGAATATATGTGGAAAGAAATTGACAAGTACATAAATATAAGATACGAATTCCATGAATAGTTAATTAGGCAACTGGAGAAGTATCAAAAATTGCTTTTAATGCCTTGTCTGATTAGATTAGGATGATATTTATATTAGAAGAACGGAAACGAATTTTGGAAAGTTTCTGAAGCATGAAGTTGATTTTCGTGAAATACTTCATTAAAATATATTGAAGAAATTTTATCGCAGTACTTTACAACTTTTTTTCTACTTATGTGCTACTTCTTTTTCTAGTAAGATGGCGTTTTGATTTCGCTCGTTTTGGGCTATTTATTTTTCCTCTCGATGCCTCCTTTTTGATGCCGGGAAAGCAGCTAGTATGAGGGTTATGAGTAGAAACTAAAATAACGTTTCTTACAAAAATATTTAATATTCTACAATCCAAACTGAATTAGTACAGCATATCCTAACTCTGAATTAAAAAATAACCCGCTGCATCTGGGGTTATTATGTTGCGTTCCCTTTTCATCTATTATGACCCGAGATACTTTTATGAAATATTTCTACATTCAGACTACTCCAGGCACGAGCAGGAACAGAATCATCTATTTTAGAGTTGCTTTATAAGTTGTGATAACTCCTTTGTATTTGAATTGGTTACAAATAACTCCAAACTCATGTAGATATCGGTAAATTTTAACTGTAGGCATAAACTTATGATCAATAGTGGCAGCTAAAAAGCAGTTTCTTAAAATCTTTCTCTAATTGCATACGCTAAACTGTGCTTCTGACATGCGTTCCGATCAGCATAACCTCCTGGAGTATTGTACTGTTTGTTCTTAGCTGAAGTTAATCTTGTTCTTTTAAACGAATACGAAAATATATTATTACTTATTATGAATGCAATTCAAATACTGCAATAATGATTTAATAATAAGTACTATGTTCCTTACAGTATAACTTCTTGGCGGATAAATTATTAAGCGAAATTAATCTCCTTGATAATGACATATTTGTGACTCGTAACTATTATGAATAAAATGTTTTCTTCTGAATTTTTTTCTAGGTATACCAACAGTTGTATCCTGTGAAATTTTTATAAGGAGTTTCGGATCTATCAACCCGTCAACAATGGTAAGATTAATTTGTGTTCGAAGTTATCAGAAATCCTTTTCTAGCAAAAAAAGTATGATTTACATAGGAAACATTATGTATTTAAGATTATTTTAATTAATTACAGTTTTAAAATTAAAGTTTAATTGCTGATGATATCAAAAATTGTAACGGTGAAACAAAAGATAATTTAAAAAAGAAATTAATAATATTTAGGCTAACAAACACAAACTATATTAAATTCGCAATTTTTTATCTTGCGCGAAATGAATTCTAATTTTAAAATTTAACCTTATGGCTTCTAAAAACGTGTTTCATTTACGCACATCCTACATATATAATCTCCATTTGTAAGAAAGCCATCGAAAATCTCTATTTTGGGCATCCGTGTTTATGCGAAAACAATGAAAAATGACAGAATGCTCAAATTTAAGCATTCATATTTTTCTGCGTATTTAAGTACTATAATAGTCTTTTGTATTTTTATTGATGCATTAAATATTTAATTATTATCTAGTTTTTTCTTTCATTTTAACGCAAATATATATATATATATACTTTCAAAGAAGTGAAATGCTATATTATTCCCATTGTTTTATATAAATATGCATTACATGAAAGGAAAAGAAATTTAATATCATAATTTTTTCCAATAAAATAATGTAGCATTTTTATATCCTTAAGATGTCGTAAGTTAGGAGATGATTTTTATAACATTTGACATAGTCTGCTGAAACTCTAAATTTGTTATTAAACTTAACATCCTTTCTTCCCTATCAGGCATGCTTTTCAGTGCAGGCAAGCAGAAAGCATGTTTCTTCATCAACCATTCTTGTAAAGTCAAAATAAAAATGTGATTTCAACATAAAATGCCATTTTTTTCTGTTTAAAAGAGTAAATGAAATAATGCATATAACCTCGAGCTTGGATTCGAGTCCAAAAGAAGGCATGGACGTTTAAGGGAACAGTGCTTTGCGGTTTGGTAGCACTTAAAATGTTGTCCAGCTGAGGTCTCTGTCGAGTGGTTGCGGAAGAGGAAAAGTGGTGAGTGAGTGAGTGAGCGCGCCGCTAAGATGTCTTCCAAAAATGGAGGTGAACCATACGAAATTATATATCATCACAGCGAGAAAATCTACTAAGTTACAATGCTGAATATTGTGTACTAATAGCAGTTTCTATATTTTACAAGTATTTCTTATCCAAAGTTTGCTTACATTAATACCCATTCTGAGTACCTGAAGCAAAAGCTGAGATTTATAGTTCTTGCTGAACGAAAACAAGCCTTACTATTCTATGATAAAATTAATAGTAGTTCAGGGATTATTTAGCTTGAAAACTGCCGATGCTAAGCGTTATCCTGATTATCTGCTTCAAACTCTGATTATTTCAAACATAATGTTATCCACAGTGGTTTTTGCTTACTCAGTGCCTTGCGGTTTTCTCTGTTTTACCAACGACTACTTCTATTTTTGAGTGTGTTGGACGTCCACGTTGCCCAGGAAGAGTCCTCTGTTTTTTTAACTGCCAGATCCTTACATTACACAATGACAGTAATATTGGTCGTGTCATATTCCTCTCCGCACTCGCAGAAGGGGAGTATCCCTAAGTATTTATCAGTTGAGGTATGATGGGAATGGCTCATGGCCTGTCAAGAATGTGTTAAGTTAGCACGATGGGTCTTCAAATGTAAACTTTTAAAAAATGAGCTAAATATCCTTTGTCCTACCTCTTCCTTTGACCCTTTTCCTTTCCAGTTTTGTAGCGCGTTTATCAAAGTTTGCTCTTTTACCGTGAGAACAAGGAATTTTAGTAGGTTGTTCTAGTAATTCCATGCCATTAGCTGCTTTCTTGACCAGAGGGTCCGCGGTTTCATTGCCTTGAATCAATGTGTAGACTTCTAGTTAATTTGAGTGTCCTTGGCAATTAGAACTAGAGAAGAGTACAGCGACTATTCGCTGTTCGTCTTACAATTACAGAAACAAAGTCAAGAGAAGGGTTCAAATACCTTTTATTCAGCTATAACAGTCGGCTTCCTCTCGCGCTTACTGGAAGGCTTCCTCTCGCGCTTACTGGAGGGCTTCATCTTGGGCTTAAGATAGAAAATAAGAAACTAACTAAATTTTAATTAACTAAATCTTAGCCAAAGTTGTACAAAAATAACTAACTGAGTTGGCCTTTAATTATACCTCACCGGCAAATGCTAACAGTCACGTAAGAATATGTCCGAGCGTAGTAAGATAGGCTTAAAGCAAAGACATGGCCGAAGGCATAATACGCTTTATTGAGAACTTCTGAGCTCTTCTACGGAAGTGACTGAAACTTCCCTTTAAAAACTGGTTCTACCTTTTTTACATAAAACGCGATACTGGAAACTTATTATGGCACGGAATTGTAGGTGGGAAACAAGAAATGAAAGGAAAAGGTTTCAGAATTAAAAATAACTATTAAGAAAATTACTAGTTTGCTACAGTACTGAGCTTTCATTCCGAGATTGTTCGTTCCTCCCACAACTAGATAAAATCGTCTCTGTAGGCTATAACTCCAGCATATTCTACGCTCTCGGAGTGATTGAAATACCGAATTTGCCGCTATATTTAACAGGGTTGATCCTAGGCTTTTGCATCCCATAAACACGCTTTTGACATAAATGCCTCTTTGTGATGTTACTTGTATTCTTCGATCTTGAAGATATGAGCGAAATACGGCAACAATGGTTGTGGGGCAGCCATATTGCCAGAAAACGTATTACGTCTGGCCAGCAAAGGAATCAAAGGCCCCCTTAACAACAATGGCCATTGCAAGTGATTGCAAGTCATTATGTGTTGGATAGTGGCCATTAAGTCTTTATGGCATTGCTCGGTTGAGTTACCTACTCAGTATTCATGTTTGTTGGGGTGTAGGGTGATGGTCCTTTGCAGAAAGAATTTAAGTCCTGGAAAGTGACTCTTTACAGTACCTTACTGAGCGCTGGCAGTAGACAGCCATGAGGTTAGCTTGGGTTATTTAATCTCCCTTTTACATAAAACTCTGGCTTTATGGTATGTTATCATTTTGAGTTGCCTTAGATTTGGATCCACCCTAGATTGTGCTCTTCTGTGAATTGTCCGCACTCGTTTTTTCTCTGTGTTAAGCTCTGGTGTCCACCAGGAAATGTAATGTCTTGTTTTCAAAGATTTCAAACTATATGCTTAGTGAGAGGCCTTCAATAGTTTTGTAACTAGTATATCATAGAGATTATCTAAGGAGTTTCTGGCCTGGCAGTTTTTGAAATTGTTGGTAAGTTTCCTTACGTGCGATCGAATGTGTTTCCATAAAATAGAATGTCCTCCAAATGCCATCTTGAATCTTTTCCTTGCTATGTAGTTCTGTAGGATTGTCCAGCCTGTAAATTATAATGACGCTCATTGCGTATATATGGGGATGTGTTTGGAATATATATTGTGAGATCTGCCCACCCTCGAGTTCTAGATATTTCAAAAGTAGGCTATGAGACCTGAGCGTTGATGTGCGCCCTCAGTGACGTGAAACTGGGATTGAGCTGAGAATATTCGAACGGTCTCCTGTAAGGTACGCAAGGCCTAAGCCATCGACACTAAGCTGGATTAACCAGCAAGCAAAATAAGCACGCAATTATGACATCAAGGAAAGCATACACTAAGAAAAGGTCATTAGGAACTCCAGTTAAGGGCATCATAGAAGTTTTCATTGCCAATTTCGTTATGGAATAGTGCAGCTAAAAAACGAACGTGAAAAAAGAAATGTGTGTGGGGGGGAGTAGAAACAGACGTAAATATACGAGGGCAGCAAAATCTTTTAAATGTTTAAGGCCTCTGAAAAGACTTTAAGCAGGCATGCATCGACAGGTACAATCGTTTGTGAGGATTTGATATTATGTTACTATCAGGCAAGTGGAATAAGTCACAACACACACAAAAGTTAAATAGGGGGGAGATGCTAAACTATGTTTCGCAGATTGTTGGAGATAATGCACAAAGCTACAGTGACTGCGTCTTACGTAACAAAATGGTTTGTTAAATTCCCTTGCTTCTACAATATTCTATTGGTTTAATTTTTCAGCGACATATTTCTCTTCTCCCCCCCCCAAAAACAAAAGAATATCTTGTGACTCAAAAAGGATCGCATTTTTAACGTTGCACATCACTGGTCCAGATGACGTCGTTGCCCGTAGTATAAAATCCGAAAATGTTTATACAGTTTGCTATTCTTACAGGTTTTTGGCTATTCATATTTCCTTTTTAGAAACTTAGATGAAAGCTGTATTCAATATATTTAAGTATGTTTTAAAATTTTGCTCAACATAAGTATTTTTCTTGTAATATTTACGAAACAGAGAATGAGAAATATATTCTTAGATTATTAACATATTGCAATTAAAAGTAATATTAATATAGGCTGATTCTTAGACAGCATTTCCATAAAGTAGTGTAAGATGCAAACAACTGCAAGGGAAAGGTAAAAATGTTAAATATCATTTTCGTATTGATAACATATGCCTTTTATTATTCTAAATTTCTTTGGGTCAGCAAGACTTGGTGCTTTAGGGAATTTGAAGCTAAGAACTTTGATGATAGAAATTTGTTTTGATTAAGAGTTAAGCCATCGAATAAACCAGTTGCGATAATGTAGATTAGAGAGTCATCTTTTTAAATCACCTCTCTTACTCGTAATGAGCATCTGCTGAGAATGTTGAAATGAAATATTGAACAGTTACTAATGCCAGGCTTTTCTGAAAGTAAGTTGAAGTGGAAGCAATATTGATCTATAAAAGAATAAGTGAAGTGGTGCATTTCTTTTTGAAAGCTATTAAAAACAGACGTTAATGCATCTTGTATAGGAAAAGAAATTTTTGAGCGAAGTAAATAAATTAATATACGGATCTTGGAAAAAAATTTTTGAAGTAGATTTTCTTGACATACACTTTTAAATGCTATGATACAAGTAATATTTTATTCAGTTAATTGAAAAGAGCATATGATGTATAGTTAAAGAAATACTAAAAA